AGAGAGAGAGAGAGAGAGAGAGAGAGAGAGAGAGAGAGAGAGAGAGAGAGAGAGAGAGAGATTTTTTTTTTGTTTTTTACAGAAAGCACCCAAGTCACAAACATCTGCATTGCTACAGGGTCTCCAACTCACTCAGCCTCAGAAGAATACTTTTTGCTGCAGCGACCCTATGAAACACTGCAGCCCACACATCTACTCTGCTATTCACAGACAGTGCCCTCAAGTGGACAACTAAACTCAGCCTGGACAAAATGTGCATAAAACCTCACCACAACAAACAAAACATTTCTGTTAACAATAAAAAGTGGTGTGCTAGAAACAATGCAGCATTAATGACTTTTAAACAAATAACCTSCAAAGCAACATGACACATATATGCCATATTGGTGCAATGTTTGAGTAAAGACCTTCCATTGCTTACGTCTGGTAATAATGTTCCAGGTTCTGGGAACAAAGCCACTCCTGGAAGGCAAAGTCTCTGAGAAGCTGGATGTGAGCCTCTGCAATTTCCCTCCAGCGCTGCTGCTCGCTAACGACCTCCTCCAGACGGTCCAGGACACTCAGACTCAGTTCCTCCAGGGTCTGTACATCTGGATGACACATGGACAGCACATTAAAAAAAAGCCCAATGTCCCTCTGGCAGACAAAACAATGTCAACTAGGACTACTGCAAACACTGCCTGAATATATTTTAGTCTGACACTAAACAGAACAATCGAGCATTGCGTTATGCACTCAATGGGATGGGAAATAATATATACAAACTGTAACCCACTGACCTTCAAATAAGTGCCTGTATTGAGAGAGGTTGTGTCCTTGGAGCCATTCTTCAATCTCACTTTCTTTTCTGTTCTTCCAGCGTATTTCCCAGAAGAAGATCCACAACACTGAGCAGAAAAGAAGGGTCAAGGAGAAGCGGCGGTCCATCAGACCATCTTTGAGCCTTCACTCATGTCCCTCCGTGCTCACAGAACTGCCACATACTGCAGTAACCAGATAACCTGCAATGTAAGCAAAATGTACAATGTAAATGTAAAAAAGGTAAAATAATAATAATAATAATGTAAAAAAACTGTTCAATAAAGTTATGTCAAGTACTCATCTGACAGTTTAGGTTTTCAACACCTTAGTCAGTTTGAAAACTTTCAAATTTCGTAAGAAAACAGTGAAACTGAAGAGTGGAAAATAATATGACAAGGAAAATACTGGATTATAAAATAATGTATAAAAACAAGGATAAAAGTCTCAAAGGCTGTTGTCTACAGGCACTGAAGCAAAACAAATCCAGCAATAATCTATTTGTAATTTTATCCGACAACAGTGCAATGATGAGCTGCCTGGACTCGGTAGCTCAGGTTACAAAAAGGTTAACYAAATGTTATTTGCTGCCACAAACAACAACCAACCAGACAAAAATCTTCAGCAGCAATAATATATTATCCTAACGTGCATCTCACGTGACTGCCATCAGTGATCTTTACAAAAATAGCAACACCACGGGGCAAAATATAAACGTTAATTGCAACACAATCCCTTTCGCTTGTCACATTARGCTGTTTGAACCTACAGCAGCTGCTGTATAAAGACAACACAAATGCTAACACAGCTAGTCAATTTAGCCGACAATGTCACTGTCTTTTCTAAAAAAAATCGGCAACAGCCAATAGTGGTTATAAGGGCGTGCATCCTCAAAAGTTCATAACGAATCTTCTGAAATATAACTAATAAACAAAGCATGATCCTACCAAGGTAAAACAGCAACTAATCCATCACGCTAACGAACGCCGCAAATACCTTCGTCTCTCAGGCGATAGCGTAGCTGCCGGATAGGTGTTGTGCTGAAAAAACGTACCCCTCCCGTCAAACGGTCCCACTTTGTGGAACACGTTTAAATTAAACTATTTAAAAATAATAATAATATGATTATTATTATCATCAATATAGCGGTTGGGTGAATTTCGTTGTTGTAGCTGTCCTTTTCTTTCTTTTTTTTCTTTTTTTTTTTTTTGTATTTTTGACTGTAATTTTACATGTGTCCTGTTGTGTCTGTCTCTTGTATAGCACTTTGGTTGGCCTTGTGTTAGTGCTTTATATATAAAAGTGGTATGGTATGGTATGGTATGGTATGGTATGGTATGGTATGGTGTGGTCCTGGTACAGAGCAATATAACCCGGTAGCCTAGTTCACCAGATAAAATGCATATATCATTAAAAAATATAATAATAATTGTGTATTAAAACCCCGAACGTAGTTTGTCATTTATGAAATTTACTCAATTTATTTAACAAAACAAACGCCTTCTTGTGACGCGCTAGCCTTTTAAGGAAGGGGTGCTTTTTTTCTGCTCAACACCTAGAAGCGAGCACAAATCGTCGATGTTTGATTGCGTCATCATATCGTCGACGCACGAGGAGTGAAGGACCAAAATTCATCCAAAATCAGACTTCAGCCAAGGATTGAAAATCAAAGCATGGTAACTAATAATGAACTGCTTTACAGCTACCTTACAGTACGCTTTTTAATTTGTTCCAGTTTGCTATCTTGTGTTAGTTGTTACTTGTTGAATTTAAAGCTACGTGAAGTTAGCTCAGCTAGCCTAGCATCTCACGTAAACTGGTTGCTCTCCCTTTTTTAAAAGGAAGATGGAATATTTAATATCAGTGATGATATAAATAACTTTCTGCTGATTGTGATGTTAACTTGTATTTGTTTCTTTTGGGGTTTAACTTTTGTTAACAGGGGAAGCAGAAGACAAAGAAGTTTGCTGCAATGAAAAGAATGATCAATCTCAAAGATAACAGGATGTAAGTTTTATTTGTTTTATTTTCTTACTAAAGTCACTGATTTAATCATCTTTCGTACGAGTCCAGGCTACTTCATTTATTCACCTAATTAAGGGTAACAAAAATGGTTAATAATTGGTTGTTMTTTTTTTCTTTCTAACACAACTTCCTACTTCTGTTACAGAAAAGAGAAAGATCGAGCTAAAGCAAAAGAAAAGAAAAAGAAGGACCCCTCTGAACTTAAGGAACGAGAAGTGTAAGTTTGTCTCACAGCAGATTAAACTTGAACCTAAGTGTGGTTCTGGTCTTCTTGACTTTTCTCTTTGTTTTTTACTCTCACGCAGCACAAAGTATCCATCATGCCTGTTTTTCCAGTACAACACTCAGCTTGGCCCACCGTACCACATTCTTGTTGACACCAACTTCATAAATTTTTCCATCAAGGCCAAACTGGACATTGTTCAGTCTATGATGGATTGCCTTTACGCCAAATGTAAGTACTACTACAATTCAGATGTTATATTAGTTACTTGTTATACTAAATGTAGATGGTATAATTGGGTAATAATACAAAAAAAATTGTGTGTTGTTATCTAGGTATCCCATACATCACAGATTGTGTGATGGCTGAGATTGAGAAGCTTGGATTAAAATATAGAGTTGCACTCAGGTACAAAATTGTGCTATAATTCAGTTCTGAGGGCAAATACCTATTTTTTTTTTCTTGTTTGGCTAAACAATGTTTTTCTGATTTACATCRATCTTTTCTTGTGCCAGGATTGCCAAAGATCCTCGGTTTGAGCGCCTACCCTGCTCACACAAGGGAACATACGCTGATGACTGTTTAGTCCAAAGAGTAACACAGGTAATATATCTAAAGATACAGTTGTTCGACAGGCATACGTTTAGCAGATTATCAATTTACTGGTGAACACTGTGATTTATTTAACAAAGGTTAAAGAAAGATACAGGTAAAAATTCTTTGGTTGCAGCAATCAGGAAGTAAAAACGTAGTTGTAATACTGTGGACAGCCTATGGAAATGATGTAATTGATGGAAAACTCTTACACATTCTCCCTCAGTAACAGACTAGTGGGTGCTCCAGGCTTGACACTGAGGTTATAATTGAAAATCTGAGTAGCCTTGGCAGCTCGCTCAGTGTGAAGGATGCTGCATAAAACCAGCCTTTGTGGATGACATTCAAGATAAAAATCATTTCATGCTCTTTAGGACAAAACTGCAARATTAATCTTGACTGAACAGCATCAAATATGTCTGATGAAATTTTGGAGCATACTTTGATCCTGGTTTATGTCATGCAGTGTGATGTAAAAGGCCGCAGTGTGATGACGAAGACTGATTACACAAAACATTTGTTGATTCTACATCAACTGGCAGTAAATATTATAAAATACTCAAAAGAAATTCCTAGTTTCTAGAAGCTTTGCAAACGAGAAATATTTCAAAATAATAAGGATTCAAAGTGTTTTGCAAAAATCTTCACCGGGTTGGCCAGCTCACTTCAATCCAACAGAGATTTTTAACTGATTTTTWAAAAATGAATATACTGTTTGTTCAGCAAAGAGGAGCTCAGAAAAATGTTTGGTCTAGAAGTTCTAAAACCTGTATCTTTTGTAAAACAAAAAGGTGAACACGCATAATACTGGGAACATTTTATGTTTATTCAAAAAACGTTGACCTTATTTTGCATGTAGTGCTGTAGTTGCATAAAACCAGCATGTTCATCTTACAATTAATAATATCCAAACCTAATACAATTTTTACTCAYTTAACATAATTGTGGTACAGCTGGTGGTTTGTTTTTATGTGATGTAGTCCAGTGTTTTTTTGGAGAAGAGTGAATAAAAATATAAAAACTGTTTCTGCAGCACAAGTGTTACATCCTGGCTACTGTGGACAGAGATCTGAAGAGAAGGGTCAGGAAGATACCTGGAGTCCCCATCATGTACATCTCAAACCACAGGTAACATGTTCCTGTAACCACAGGACTGTGGACGCAGCCCTGCTCTTCCATTGCATGTTTTAGTTTGACCTTATTMAGAAAGTTGTCTCAAAAGCTTCAAATGTGTTTATGCACTTTGAAAAAGTAAAAAATAAAAACATCATAAATGATTTTTATTTCTAATTACAGGTATAACATCGAACGGATGCCTGATGACTATGGTGCTCCAAGGTTTTAAAATAAATCCACCTGAGCTAGATGTGTAAATAGACTAAAGATTCCAGTTGAGTTTTTTTTCTGATTTTTTTTTTCAATTTCTTTTATTTTATTTTATTTTATTGGTGTGTATGATTAATAAAGAAAGGTTAAAAACACTTAGTTTTGACATTAAATTTGTTTATTATCAGGGTGAATTTGATTATGTTTCATCTCTGCAAATTAAATAATTTTCTCTTTGTAAAATGTTTTGTTGCAAATAAAAAAAACAATTGAAATGTTTTCTTCATTTAAAAAACAAGTTTTATCTAAAAAACATAATTGCAGAATTCCTTTTCTTTTTTTTAATAAACAATTTAATTTCTTTGTGTTTACATTCCAAATTGACACAACTTTCAGCCATGATAAAAGTCAATATTTGTATCGGGTCTCAAACGAACGTCTTCCGAGGAGCACCTGAATGCACCACTTCTCTCAGCTGAGATAAATCATGCGCATGCGCAGTAGTTGAAGATCGGGGAGTGTCTGAGCGAGCGGCTCGTTGACACTCGAAGCCGTAAAGAGCATCTGCTGCAGGAACAATGAATCGACTGACCTGGGAGGAAAGGATTTTGTGAGACTTTCCTGAACTGGACGGTTGGGGTTGAGATGGGATCTTAAAGGAATTCTGATTTATTGGATTTTTTTCTTTTTCTTGGCGTGAACGACCTCTAACGGTACAGGGATTTTGTATTTGTTGCATTCGCGACTTTATGATCGCTTCTCCTTTAAAAATAGCACTTGTAATAAAATGAGGTTTTACATGTTACAGCTTAAATCAAACTGATGCCTTATTTGCAGGAATAGATAGKCTTTAGCGTGGAACACTTGCTGCAAAGTCTTTTTTTATTTCACTTTTAAATCACTGCTTCATTCACTTGCCTACACTGGAGCAAATCAATGCATTGGTTGATTTTTTTTTTTTATGAGACACACTGCTGTCATAATCTCCTGGACGTCATGCCTTGACCATCTGCTGCTGGAACCTGTTTTAATCTGCTGATTAACCAGTWAAGGTCCAGCATCACTCAGATCATTACTGGGACTGTGTTGTGCTGCTGCCTGCTCAAGGAGGGATGCTGAAGGRCACTGTGGGCTCAGTGGAGGAGAAGGATGAGGAGCAGGAGGATGAAGGTGAAGAAGAGTTGAGGGACGGAGGGGTGCCCTTCTATGTGAACAGAGGAGGCCTCCCGGTGGATGAAGACACTTGGGAGAGGATGTGGCGACATGTGGCTCGAATCCATCCGAATGGTGAAGCCCTGGCGAAGGAGATAAGAGGCTCCACTGACCTGCCCAAGGTAGAGTCGTGAAGGAAACTAAGAAAATACAACAGTATGTTGTAGTTTAGTTCATTTAATTCTTTGTCCAAGATGCATTGCACAACACAAGATGTATCAGATTAGTTCCTTTTCAGTCATTTGTCCCATATACAACTGTGTGTTGTACTTTGTTCCATTCCTTCAAGGAACCGTGGTTATATTCATAACCTTARGATTTCTGTTACTTGCAACAGGATATTGTRTGTTATAAGAAACCGAAAAGAGCTCAGAMGTTTAATGAGATTACATTCTGGAGCTGTTGTGAATACTGTGATTGTATGAAGTTGTTTGTGTTGCAGATTCCAGTACCAAGTGTGCCTACATACCAACCTACGAATACGATCCCCCAACGCCTGGAAGCCATACAAAAATACATCTGGGAATTGCAGTATCCTTCCTTTAAAATCTGTAAAAACCTTAATGGGCAGGCTTCAAAATATCTGATATTTTACACTGATTTTTGCTGTAACTGAGTGTAATATTATATATACMTCCATAGTTCTATTGCTTTCTTAGACATAAATATGGGTCAACCAGTATAGATAAAATGTAGGCCAGTGAAGAGCCTACAACCTCAATCTTCACTACATGAAGAAATTCATTCATAATTAATCAGCAATCTCKAATATATATAATAAACGGTCAGCAGTTTGAGGAGTTGTGCTCTTCCATCACATGTTTCCGTTTGACTTTAACCGGTTCTTACAGGTACAATCACACAGGAACACAGTTTTTTGAGATCAAGAAAAGCCGACCTCTTACTGCGTGAGTAAATCTCACTTTGAGTTCCAACCTCTGTGAGGTTAAAGACATCAGCCACAGGATAACACAGGTGGTGTTTGTTGATGTCTTAAGGTTTTACTCAGTGAGGGCTGATGGATGTGGATTAGCTGTGTCTTTTTTTTTTTTTTTTTTACCAGGGCTTTGGGAGAAGCTCCTAATGTCAGTCAGCGGATGTCTGTGTCTGTCCTCACTTTATTGGATTTAGATTCTGTTTCTCAGGCTCAAATAACATGTTTTTTTTTTCTGTGACTAGCTCCCTGCTGTGCTGGTGTTTTTTTGCTAACAATCTTTTTATTTTATTTTTTTTATTTATCACAGGTTAATGGACATTGCCAAGGAGATGACACGAGAGGCTCTGCCAATCAAATGTTTGGAGGCGGTGATCCTGGCAATGTATCTTTAAAGCCACAAAGAGGATGTTGCATGACAGCTGAAATTTTAATTGTGTTATTGCATGTTTTGTTGTGATGACTGTTTAGTGTGGACCTTGTGTCTCAAGGTCATTTCTGAAAAGACCTGATTCCATCTGATGTTGAGTAAAATGAAAACTCTACTTAAAGGAGACATATCCTGCTTTTAAATCCATCCTTTACACACTTGAATCCTTCAGTTGGGGGTCTATATGAAGTGGAACTGCAATGCTTTGGTCTGGATTCCTCAAAGCACTTTTTTTTTTCAAAGCTTGGAGTTTCATGAGAGAGGTGAATGCGAAAGAGAGACCGCAGAAATTATTGGCGTTATTTAAATTAAAATTACTATGTGCCATGAAATTCTTGGACGGGGGGCCTTAGATAAGGATAGGGGCAACACTGCAGCCATTTGTAAAATTAGCATTAGCATTAGTGGTTAGTTTCTTAGCTACTCCACAATACATTTCATCTCAGTAAGTCTTAAAATGGATTAATTAAAGCCTTTTAAAGTTAGCTGTGGTGGCTATTTTGAAAATTTTATTAGCATGAACCTACAATAACTTTCTACTTTGTAGGTCTAAAAATGGACGAATAATAAGTTGCATGTTTTTTGAGTCACTTGTAGCTACGATCATGCAAAATTTGAGTTCAATATTTTTTAAAAACGGCTGAATTAAAGCCATTTGGAGTTAGCTGTGGTGGCCATCTTGAATTTTCAAATTCAGAGCGCTTTTCTTTATTTACATGTGCCTCCTTGAAAAACACACCTTTGCCACCCCTGTGCTATCCCTTGCAAAAAAAAAGTCTAACTCCACCACTGTTCAGAAAACATCAAAATAAAATACAGAAAACTGAACGTGTTGAAAAATATGACTCAAATTAGAATATAAAGATATTTAGCCAGCACTGGTAGAGACTAAATTCAAAATTTCTTTACTCCTACAAGTACAAAATAAAAGGCATTTAATTGCTAAAGACGTAGATATTTTCATGATATGTCCTCTTTAAAAACAAATGCTTAAAATGCATTCATATGTAGAAATTAGAGCACCGATGTCCCTCACCTTGACCTCTCCCGATCCAGTCATCTCACCAACAACATGCCCGGTGTGGAGCGCTTCCCCCTCAGCTTTAAGTCTCACTTCTCAGGGAACCACTTCTACCACATTGTGCTCGGCGTTCACAGCGGGGGGCGCTTTGGCGCGCTGGGCATGAGCCGAAGGGAGGACCTCATGTTCAAGCCGCTGGCGTTTCGAACGCTGCTGGACTTGGTGCAGGATTTCGAAGGCGCCTACAGGGCCTACTGGCACACCCTGCGCAAGATCAAGATCGGCCAGTACGTGTCCCACGATCCTCACAGCGTGGAGCAGATCGAGTGGAAACACTCGGTCCTGGACGTGGACAAGCTGAGCAAGGAGGAGCTGCGGAAAGAGCTGGAGAGACACACCCGAGACATGAGGCTGAAGGTACAGTGGGATGCTCTTCTGTGGCCTTACTGGTTGTCTGGTGTTCTTGTAACTTATTTAGCAGTAAAATGAGTGGTAAAATTGAAAGTAATGATGAGAAAAACAATTTGTCCTCAGCAAATGAACTGACCGTCCTATCTGCTTATTAAATTTCCTTTGACRGAATGTTCCACGCTCAGTGACTCGGTTCATCTGCTGGCTGAGAGGCAATTTCTTCCAAGTGTTTCTCTCTCATCATCTTTCACGCTAAGATAATGTACTGTGTGTAATAAAACTAATGCTTTGCGCACGGATGGCTCAGTCCATCAACAGCTGCTCTTTTACGCTGAACGTTCTGCACAATCACTTTGAAGGCATGAACAGATTTTAAGCCACGGGCACTCTAACCAGGACGGACAGCTCACCAGGGTAATAATAGCTGGAAGTGAATGAAGTTCTGACGAGCTTGTTCATTTTTCCAAACTTATTTCTGCAGATAGGAAAGGCGGCGCCGCCCTCTCCCGTGAAGGACAGGAGAAACAGCGTGGGTTCTCCTCATAAAGGACRAAACAGCCCCATTCGGAGGATCAGCCGAGTCGAGAGACGGTACGGTTGATCCCAAACTGARTTATTCCTCCTTATTTAGGTGCTGGAACATAATTTAGACAGCAGGGCGGGTTTTGCAACTTTAGYCAAAACAAAAACAAGAGTAAGTTCTGAACAAACTTGTTGGAGCCTAAATGCGTTACAAATGTAACCATAGTTAAGTTTGAGTTCAAACTGATACAGAGATTCACTTAAAATCATAAAAAGCATATGTGTGATATTTAGTTTATTTTGTAATAATAGAGTAAAAAAATGCAGGATTTATTAGAGGTTACATTTGTTTCCAGTGTAGAATTAAGTGTTTGGATGATTACTATGGGGGGTTAATATGATCGTCTGTGCAGTCAGTCAAGTATGAGAGAGTTTTTTTTTTTACTTCTACCATTAGGTCTCTTTTTTTCTATTCCTATCTTTATCTTTGTAATTTTGGAAAAATTTGTACAAGTTTAGATTTTTGCAACAAAAGTAAAGTGTTCAACTTGAATTCCAGAGGTCTATAAAGTACTTGAAAAAAATAACTAAGTAAAAGTAAAATGACATGAACAGAAAAAATCTTTGGTAAAAATGTTTCACTGATGAGAAAACTACTTAAGTCAAAGTAATAAAACTGTTCACACAAATTGGGAAAATAAAAGTAGTTTTACACACTCTAATAAATAAATTGTTGAATTTACTGAACCAAACTGGCTCCACTAAGCCAGYTTGACTAGACTGAGCTATATGTGTTATTCTTTGCTCAATTTACTCGACCAATCTTAACTTTGTTGAGTAAATTCAACACTTCATTTTTTAGAGCGCATAAACATCTTCTTTTATGATGTGTTTGAACATATTTAATTTTGTAACAAGTAACTAGGTGTTAAATTTTAAAGTAAAGAAGTAAAAGTATCATTTTTAGCGTTAAAATGTAACAAAGTAAAAGTACTGTAACAAAATGTACTTAATTATTATAAACCTCTGGTGAAAACCTCAGTGGGTTCAGTCAATGGAAACCTYCACTTGTCCTTTTTACTATTTATTTAAATTTTTCTCTTTTCTTTTTAGCAGCCCCTCTGGAGAGAAGAAGGCCTTGGAACAAAAATCAGCAGATATCAGCGGATACCAGATTCGAGTCTGAAAACAAATATTGTCCTGCTTGAAGCATTTYTCACACACCTGTTTATGGGACCACTAACTAAATGAAATCGTGTGCACATTGACTTGCTCACTGGATGTGGTCTTGAATGGATCACTATAAAAATGTTCTTCCTGAAACACTTTATTCWGCTTTTATGTTGTTAAAAGCTTTTTTTTTTCTGAAGCAGCTGAAGTAATTGGTGCTGGCTGTGCTCCCAGTTTATAAAAGGGGTGGGGGGAGTGCATTTACATAGTTAAAAAAAAGGTAGTTGATCTTTCTCTGAAGCTGTGGAAAAATGCCAGTCAATGTAAATGTACAAATACACACATCACATGTCTCTATGCTGTTAGGTTTCTCTGCAGTCATCATACTGGTAGTATGCAAAGACATGATGTATTATAAAACCACTTTGACTTCACTGGGTAACAGTTACACCTATAATGAGTGACTAGTGTATAAACCCTTGTGCCTTGTATAAAAATAAGGGGAAAAAACTATTACTGAGCCCAATATTTTAGTTTTTATCTGAGCACTGTGTGACACAGTGAGCCAACACCCAGAGACGAGCATGTTTAGGATGCTGCTATGTCAGGATGAGTTATATATTCAAAAATAAAGGGGCATTTATTAACCAATTTTCAGAAACTGACTCATGAACCATCTATTTCTAAATGACATAGCTGCCACTCATCCCTGCTTTTAATCAGTCTATACATCATGTCTGTGGCTTATCTGCTTAATACCGTCCAACTTTGATTTGTAGCAACTTTCACTTGCCTTAAGTGATGTTCAAGTCCCTGACTTCCACTGAAACAAAGATGTAAAAAGATGTTTTACTGCACTTTTATCTGGATTTTGTATTTTTTATTACAATTATTGTCATTTTATACTACCTACAGTGTTTGTGATCACCAGTTAACACTTAATATTCACCAAATGCTGTTCTGAATGTTGCTACTGTCAGCATTTTTATCTAGTCTGGGTGTTTTTATTTCAGCGTTCTGAAATGCATTTGTTTTGCAGAATCACAATAAAGGTTTTTTGTGCATTATTTTCATTTTTTTTAATCAAATTTATGGTCACTTTCACATGCATTTCCGAAATCTCTGAGCTATAATGTGGACAATGAGTACATATAGTTATGTCAGGAAATATTTTTAGTGGATAGATTTTTTTCCAACATGGCACACTTTCTGCCATCGTTATAGATACATTTGAAAGAGATTTTAAAAATATATATTGAACTAAATAAATGTAAAAACTTGTTAAATATTGGGAAAACACGTCTCTTCACTAAATTGGTGGTTCTCAAACTTGGAGTCAGGATCCCAAAGTGGGTCATTCAACATAAAGCTGGGGGTCCTAAGATAATCTAAAAAAAATCTGAAAATAAATGAAAATAAAGGAATATGAATACATCATAGCACATTTGTGCTACAATTGTTGCAAGACAAAAAAAATAGTATTTAACCAAAGATAGCTGGAGTTGCAAGTCTTTGATGGGTCAAAAGCTGAAAYGTTTGGGAAGCACTGATTTAGGTGTCAGTGTTTGCTGCAGTCATGTAAGTARCTAGAAAATGTTGGTTGTGAGCTCTTCTTATAATATGTAATTAAATTGTTTTATGGACCTAAACTTGATAAGTAAGTGTTCCTTGCGACACAGCAAACAGCCCATTGGGCTTCCATTGATTCAACATCAATTAGCTAGAACAGACTTTGTTGTAGACTGATTATATACCTCAGAGGGAGCTGTGTGTTGTGTAAAGTACTGCCAACAATGTACTGAGATACAGCAGAAGATGATTTTTTGGTTCTTTTTTGTTTAATAAAGAAAATACATATCTTCCTTTCAAGAATCCAGGAGTCATTGTGTTGTGCACAACCATAAAAAACATTTAACTGGTGCTACAGAGGCAAGCAGGCTTTCTTTCCTGAAGTTTTCATCTCATTGATGACTAGAAATTATTRGCAACAATTACTTTTAAGGAAAAGGATAATAGTAACGGCCATCATGTCACACTAACATTTTACACAATGACAATGGAATAAAAAGAAATGACTGGAATCCTCTTATGGATTCTTAAATTGAAATGTTTAAATCGACCCATATAAGTAACTTAGTCCTAACAAAATTTTCAAAAGTCTGCACAAGTCGTCTAAAACATTAGTGTGACAGGGCCTTAAGAGAATATTCAAGACTCTTTACTGAGCACCATCGTGCATTAAAGCTCAACTGCATGAATTATCCATTGATGCATTAACCACACACAGATAAACTGACTGCCTGAGGGCAGCGAGATGYAAGCAAACATTCAGATCACCAGGCACGAGCCGCACACCTGGCCTTTAACTGGAATACGTACTACTACTGGCCGACTGAATCAAATTAATGCAAAATAGGAGTCGTATAATATTCAAAAGTATTTATTGAAATGTTACAAATGTTGCCATTCATCAAAAATTGTTTCACACTAAAAAGAAAAAGAATTTTGTCATGGCAAAACAGCAATTCTTTGTTTTTGAACATACTCTGAAACTCTTAATATCAAACAAAAAAAATGAGGTCCTTTGACCATAAACATGTTCATTCCTTTTAGGCCGTGTTCAGGTCCAGCTGAAACTGTGCAACCAGAGCGAGATGGTCTGAGGGGAAAATGTGATTGGGGAGACCGTTCAGTGACCACAGCGCATCCTCAGACAGGAGGGAGAGACAGCCGATAAGCTTTAGGCCTCCGCCTGCAGACTTTCCACAAGCTAGAAGGAAAAAACAAACAAGGACATCATTAAAGTATCTCCTACGTTAACGAGGTTTAATGTTCAGCTGCTTCTATTTCTGTCCCCGCACCTTTGTGCTGAGAAGCAACGAGGGGTTTTGGAGAGTAGAAGATGTAGTCAACAGTAGCTCCTCCTTCAGAGTGCAGGGTTGTGATTTCTGGGAAGCCAGCGCCAGGAAGTACGTGTTTATAGACCGACTCCAGGTTTAACCGATGGCTGATCGTCTGTCTGAAGCTGAAAAGCCAGAACATTTTGTTTGTCGCTCAATGGAGTTTTTGTTTTAAACATTTATTTTATTGGGATATGAAAACATCAAATGACAGAATAAACACAAAACATGGCGTTACCTTATATAATCTTGTTTAATCCTTGAAGGATCTGTTTAAAATGTGAATTAAAACCAGAAACGTCACATTCAAGAAGAGTAGATTTTTAAAAAAAAATGTTTGTCGTGTGCTTTCAGTATGCATGTTTCCCACCTGGTTTGTTGTCAGTCACGCCTGGAATCAGTTTCAGGTCTTTAGGGCGGACACAGGCAGTTGGACAATAGCGCAAATGCAGCATAAACTCATGGCTGTACTGATGTTTTCCTAAAAAAAAAACAACAACAGAAAAGAAGGCCATGAAACCTACAAATCCTCTGCTTGGATAAACATGACAAGCATTTCAATAACTCACCTGCTTTTGGGTGCTGGCTCTCAACCGTACTGTTGTCAGGACTTATGTACTTGCAGCGGTCAGTGACTCCCAGAGAGCTGGGCCACAAGGGGGCACACAGTGTTTGGTAAGTAGGCTTGTATGACAGGTCCTCTTGGCCTGAAATCTATTGGACACAACAAACATAAGCTTAATCATTTAAATACCTGAAATAATGGTGGTACAATAACAATAATGTACTGCATTCAAGTTAAGCACAGATTACAGTGATCATCTCTGCTTTTGTTTTCTCACCATCCACGCRGGCAGACCCTGGTAGTAGAGCTCACCGGTGGTAATCAGCTGGTACAAAGGCGTGTGTGGGCAGGAGTTAAAGTCCCCACAAAACACAACATTACAGTGTTGACCTTTAGCCTCGCAGGACTTGATCATGGTGTCGATTTCTGCCAGCATGATCGCCAGCTGTGCCAGCTTCAAGTCCCCTCTCCTGGGGTTGAAGAGCAGGTGTGTGTTGGCCACACACAGCGGCGGGCCCACCTCCTTGACCTCGTCTCCTTGGGCGACTAATGGCTGAAGAAGCAAAACGATGCCCACGTTGTGCCGGTCTAACAGCTCCGTCTCGGGTCTGAAGAACTCCAGCTTGGAAACTGCTACCTCAGCAAAGCCGTTATAGCAAATGGCACAGCCATCGGTCTTGGTTCCTGTACGCCGCTTGTACACACAGGTGTAGCCTGGAGAACACGGACAGACACTTTTTGATGTTTGTCACGACATCATTCACAATTAGTGGTCCTCTGTTGTGTCTCGGCTGCCCTACCCAACTGAGAAAGGACTGGATACAGCTGGTCATGGTAGTGGTTCTCCTGAACTTCTTGAAGGCACAGTATCTACACCCAGATTGACACATACAAATAATTAATGACAAAATAATATTAGAAATATAATGCAATTCTATATATACAGTATAAAAAAGTGCATTTAACTCACATCTGGAGTCCAATTTTCTATTTCCTTTAGAAGCAGACTGCAGCGGTAGTTCCAGTCCAGCACCTCTAGGGGGCAGTGTGCGTACAGATGGTTATTGAGCTCCAGCAAGTCTTGAGAAAGGATGTTGTAGGACATAACAGTGAAGTCCAATGAGGTACTTTTGGATGAAAAGGGGGTCAAAGCATACTCAGGTGCAGCAGAGCTATGAGATAACTCCTCCCACACTCTCCACATTACTGGGGGAACAACAAACACAGGACCACTTACATGAAGGTGAATGTTAAAACTCTATGGATGAATAAAGACAAACAGCACATTCTTATTTATTTCAGCTGAGGAAGCGCAAACGTTTTACCTTCAAAAGGCACTGTCGGCCCCATCGGAGGGTAATAGCTTCCAGGAGGAAGTTGCCACAATGGGCACTGCACTTCCTGTGCAAGACCAGGCCCTGCAGGAAAGTGCCAGCTGGTTTGTGCATCACCAAGCTCAGAATGAGCTTGAGTGTTGGGCAGAAATGAGGCGACTACAATCTCTGATTCCCCAGCTGCTTCAGAGGTAACAGCTATATACTCATCCCAACACTCAGTTACTCCCGATGTAGTTTTAGCTGGAGGCTGTGACTCAGCTAAGTTTGACATTTGGATTTGCTCATCTGTGAAGAAAGTACATTGGACCTCTTCAGCGTCAAGTGCAGACACTTCTAATGTTTCAGACTTTGTCTGTTTCTGTACAGGACAGGTAACTTCCTGTATGCTGTCCTCTGTCTGCAGACACTTGAACTGTGCTATCAGTGTTTGCTGTGGACTGATGTCATCGTGAGGTGAAAAGGTGCTTTCATCTTCAGTGTCCTTACGGTGGATTGRAATATTCCCGTCTTTGTGCTTGGAAGCTTCTCCTTCTCCGTTCAATCCAGACTGCACTTCACTCATCTTTGGAGCTGTGTCTTTTTCTGATTCATTAGGCGGTCCAGCTGTTAATGGTTCCTTATCCATGTCAGGTTTAGTGTCGCCGTCCTCAGGATCCGGCTCGTCTACCCTTTCTTTCGCATCTCCCATTGTTTTTCCTCTCTGGTCATGCAGGACTGTCTCAGACTGACTGTAGGWGTTTGTACCACCATCCCATAATGTCCTGCCATTAACCAACGAAGGAGGAACACTTTTCTTTGACTCTTCTACAAAACAGAAAAACAAACAAGCATAACCGAGATAAATGTTAAAAAAAAGCAATATCTTGAACAACTTTACTGGTTAACTAGAAACAGAAAATCCCAGACAAAATTAGCAACTTTAAACAAACTGCACACAAAACATACGCGGTTGAGAAGTAACGTCACACGGGGGCGTTATAAACATAAAACCAAACATGAGCTAAAACTAGTCAGCAGTCTGAAATGCAAAACACGTTTTCTTCACAAAATATAAAATATGACCCTTAAAACCTAAGTAGTAATCACAGAACTCATTTCGACACTAGCTTTAAATGCAAAAACGTATTTTTACCAACGGCACGTTGGGAGCGTCAACACTGCTCCGTCAGCAGTAAAGCATGTTAGCTCTTAGCAACTGGTCGAGAGTGTGCTGGAAAGTTCGTCAGCTACTAACGTAATATGTTACCTCTGCAAATGTGCTATTAAATCAAATTACGTCTTCGGGTACAAATGATTGCATGACTCTTTTTACCTGCACTTCCACGCGACAAGTACCGTGATAAGGGGTAAAGCGCATAAAACAACAAACTGCCAATCATGTTTTTTTTCCCCTAAATCTGCGCATGCGCACTCTGCAGTCCTAAAAATAACACTTTTTTTCATATGTGCATTGTGTACCGTCTAAATTGTTTATTTGTTGTCTTCAAAAAGTCATTTGTTTGGTAAGAATACTCTAATTAATTTGTTTTGGTTTGCTTTTGCTAACTTTTAWCCCATTGCTTTGGAAGCCCATTTCCGCCACCCTGATAAAAAAAAAAAATAAAACTTGTATCTCATAATTATGACTTAGCTATGTCATAATTATGAGATACTATCTCATAATAATGAGATAGCTAAGTCATAATTATGAGATAGTATCTCATAATAATGAGATAGCTAAGTCATAATTATGAGATAGCTAAGTCATATGACTTAGCTATCTCATAATTATAGCTATCTCATAATTATGAGATACTATCTCATAATAATGAGATAGCTAAGTCATAATTATGAGATAGTATCTCATAATAATGAGATAGCTAAGTCATAATAATGAGATACTATCTCATAATTATGAGATACAAGTTTTATTTTTTATCAGGGTGGCGGAAATGGGCTTCCATACATTTCAGCCATATAATACACATACTTGACCATAAATGAGTGAAAAGAAAGCCAGTGTTCAAAGAAAAAAAYTCCAGTAAGACTGAAAAAGAGATCAAGACTACTTTAAGTAAGTTAGAAATTCTAGCTAATCTGAAACAAAGTATTAAAGAGAGTTCTGTGCAAAACAGACAGAACATTTATTGCCAGGCATGTTTTCACATGCTGGGAATTTTTCTTGGTTGCAATCCAGTACACAAACATCACAGAACAAATTAGTAACTGTAAGATGTGACGAACGAAAAACTAGTCTAAGTTTATTTGGATGGTAACCACAGTGATGCATAAATTTTTAATGCCATTCTTCATGACGCAACCTGAGAGATAGAATTTCCTACAGCGCACCACAAACCTGTACCGTATTGCAGCACCTCACAGGTTGTGAAAAATGGAACAACAAACCAAAATCTTCTAAGGTTTTTAAAAAACTGTTATTAATTAATGCAATAGAGAGGGTAATTTTTGACAGGAACCAGAAATGTCAATACTCTCATTTAAGGAACTCAGCTTGAATGATGACAGCTGTCCATCACCAACTCAACTGCAAGACTCGGACACCGAGTCTGAAGACTTGGAGTCAGACGGTAAGTCGATAATTCTCCAAGGAAATTCTTGAGACATTTGATGACACTTACTGTTAGGAAGTAACACAGTCACAACATATACAAATACGTTTTTAATTTATTTTATTGTTATTTTTTAAGCTAAAACATTAAAAAAGTGTAATTCAGTGGATGTTTTGCTCCAAAATGGAGTATGTATTGTTTTTCTCATGGGTCTGATTATTATACTCAGACAACATGAAGGTCAACAAGGAGATGTCTGTAGCTGAAGTGTACATGCAGGCCTGCAAGCTGGTGGGTGTGGTTCCTGTCCTTTATTTTATTCGAAACCTCAGCTCTCCAACTATGACACTCACCCATRATGGGTTAGGACCTTTAGGCTGCAAGGCACTCGCAATAGCTTTAGTGGTAAGTTCACATGACTCTGCAACTGAGTAAGTGTTATCTACTAAATGAGTTTAATTGTCTGATGATATAACTTTATTTGTGTTCTTAGTCTGATATGCACATCAACACTCTGGAACTGGCAGACAATCACATTCAAGCTGAAGGAGTCAAATATCTGCTGGAGCTGCTGAGGGCTAATTTCACCATTCAGCACCTGGTAGGAACTGCAACTGACTGCTCAAGAGTCCTTAAATATCTTAATTTTAGCAAACACCAGTTTACCTGTTTTCTCTTTTATTAGAATTTATCCAATAACCATTTAAAATCTGAAGGAGCTGAGCATGTGGCTAAAATGTTGCTGGACAACATATCACTAAAATCTATTAAACTTTCTGGTAATGTTCAAACTAACAGTATTTATGGGAGCTGAATGATACACGACATAAACATTTTGTTTTTGCTTTGTTTTTTCCAGGAAATGGGTTCACAGATGATGATGCAAAATATTTTGCAGATTCTTTGTCAGTAAGTTATCAATATGGTAATAAAATCATAATATGTCATATAATTGTATTTTATGAGTTCTTTCTTTGCAAATGGTGATCATGATGTTCTTTACATTTTGCTCGTAGGCCAATTCCAGGATCAAAGAACTTGACCTGAGCCATAATAAGTTCTGTGGAAGAGGAGGGGAGCATTTGGGACAGCTGTTGGGTAAACATCAAAAATCTTGACTCTTTACAATGTTTATAGATGTATACACGTGAGGTTACAGTACTTACTTAATATATTTAATATATGTTGTTTAACTTTTTGAAATCTACAGCAAGCAACGATGGCCTAGAGGTGCTTGACCTCAGCTGGAACCATCTTAGAATGAAAGGGGCTGTGGCTTTTAGCGCTGGACTGAAGGTAGAGTGCTGTATACCACAAACAGTTTAACTGTTGCTTTAGTAAATCACCCCACCACAGTGTCTGTGCTTAGGTGAATACAGTGGTCAAACACCTTGACTTATCGTGGAACGGTTTCGGGAATGAGGGAGCTTTAGCCATGGGTGAAGCCCTAAAATTCAACAACTCTCTGGTGCATCTCAACCTCAACAACAACTGCATCACCAACGAGGGCGTCAGCATGCTGTGCAGGGGCCTTGAATACAACGAAACACTCCGAGTCCTGCTGGTAGTTAAAAAACATCATCACTAGTTATATGTGACCTGTCACATTGAACCAAATTGTATGTGGGAAAATAAGCAGCAATTGGTTAGAAAAAAAGTTGCATTTTGTTAAAATATAAGGAATAAAGCACCTTATCTACAAATTGTTTAAATTAAATGTCTGAATCTAACTCTTTTGGGAGTAGTAGCTAAGAAAACCATGATTTTGAGCAAAAAAGCCTTAAATTATAGCTTTCACCTCAAGCTAGTAAAGCTGTTTTTCTTTCCAACCGGTAAATCTTAACATTCAAAAACAGTTTGAGGTTTCCTCTTTAAAATGACATTAAAAATTCCTAATTTGAATAACCTAAAATAGGATTCATCCCAAATATCAATGGGTRATACTGATTAGGAAGACAAATCAAGCCACATCTCTGGAATCACTCATAATCAGGACGATCCAGGTATCAAATTGTGGCGTAAAAGGCAGGAATCTGAAAGTGTGCTTATGTCATTTTAATCAAATTTGATTTAATCTTCAGTTTGATGATACAGGTCACATATCATATAACTTGGTTCATAGTTATATTGTAAAATGACATTTAATTCCTTTATCCAAGTAGCTGGCTTACAATTCCTTAACAGTAGAGGGTGCTCTGGCCCTTGTCAACATGGTGAAGAACACACCCAAGACAGCTCTGGAGGAGATCAACATATGTGTGAGTGTCAACTTCAGTACAGTGATAGACAGTAATATTACAATGCATACATTTGTATTTGCTTCATGAATCAGTTTGCATGTTGCTGATTCTGTGAATGTTTACCTGGACAGAATGTGCTCGTAAATGAGAACTTTGTGGATCTTTTGGAAGTCACATATCTGGAGCATCCTGGTCTGGATGTACAGTACGGCGGGGTGGGGGGCTTTATTGCTAAGAAGCCACCAAAACGAGTTGATCCAATGAAAATTATTCAGGTTTGTACAGTGCAATGCTTTTTAAGTTCTTTGGAAATTCACCTGTAATGAATACATTGCTTTAATGATTTCTTATAATGATTTTTTGAAGGATTATCTTGATAGTCGTAAACTGCGTCTGTGGGATTTCTTTCGGAATATCGACAAAGACGGCACCATGCAAGTCCCTGTCACTGACTTCAGGAGGGCAGTTCAGGTTTACAAACGAATACAATGACCTGTCCAAAATGTTGCAGAAAACCCACAGAATCTGATCCTTTTAAGTGACAGATTATGATGGAATTATCTACTAKTATCCCACATAGATATTGATTTATATTGTTGTGTTTGTGTTTGTAACTGTTAGCAATCGACCATTCCTTTGAGTGGGTTCCAGATTGAGGAGCTGATTCAGAGACTTGATCGCGACAGGACAGGAATAGTGGACTACAGGTGAGCATTTCCTTCAGTGCAAGATTGTACAAACAGAAAAATGACTTTYTTACTATYATATTGTCACCACATACAAGGTGACGATGCTGCTACAATCATTCATTTTACAAGTGTTTGATGACCAAGTGTGCTTTAGTTATTAGCTGGGAACTAGAACAGCGCTCAGTTACGATGATTATGATTATTCCCCACATGTGTGCTGTAGTAAAGGTTCTGCAAAGGATCTGAGGCATGGGCCAATGTTTTTTTTTCAGGGGTCTGGCTGATACAAGAAAGCAGATGATGAGAGATCATCGACGGCAGCTCAAAAAAGTAGAGTCTCGCCAGAGGAAAGAGAAGCAGAAAAGCGATCGCATACTTAAAACCTTCCAGAGCGCWGTGGAGGCCGTCACACCTCGCAGCTCCATTATCATATCCCCTGGAGGGGCCAAAGAAGAGTCCAGTGGCCTTCAACCATTTTCTGCCACCCCTCTCAGCTCTTGGCACCACATTGCTATGTCACACAGTCGCTACTCTGTCACTAACCTGAGCAGTGAGCGAGTCCATCTGCCCATGCTGGAGAGTGCCTCGCCCTACCGTGCCACTAGTTCCCCAGCGATGCGGTCCTACTCCCAACACAACCTGCTGGCTGACTCGCGTCACTCTGCGTCGCGCAAGAGTGTTAGCTCAGATCCAGAGGTGAACCACAGTGAGCTGAGCCCTACTGCTAACAGCCTAACCAGGTCCAGGCCTGCTCTTCAGCCTGAGTGGCCAGAGGGCAAAGCCAAAACCAAGAAAGTAAAGAAAAGAAAGCCAAAGAAACATGGAGAAAAATTCAAAAACTCACAAAAAAAATCTGTGAAGTAATGTTACTGTTTGTTTTTGTGTGTAACATAATTTTAAAAAAATGATTTGGGTTCTCTTTTTTTTAAAAGAATAAACATCGAGATGCTTTTTTTTGTCTGTCAGTGTTTAATGTAGCTTACTTATTGGATGGGTCAGCTGCAGGGGTCACACACCCACAGATAACTTTTTTGCAAACATTTTGAGTATTTAAMTGTGCGTGTTAGAGATAATGGCAGGTGTATATTCTGACACGTTCCTAGTCAAACAATGCTGGGAACAAGGACAGGTGCTGCGTATATAGGTAAAGTGTGGCAGGCTATAAAAGTTGTGAAGATCCAACCATCTCGATCATACCTCGGACTGAAGCAGAATGATCCAGACCCTGGTTCTCTCAGCACTGCAGAGCTCCGCTATGGCCGTAGGGGTATGCCTGGCATGATTTAACTTCATCTTTATTCTTCAGTTCTTCATATCCGTCACAATACATTATTCTTATTTTTAGGGTGTGGGCCTGTGGAGATCAGGTAATGAGACAGGAGGTGGGGATAGGTGTGCCTGCAATGCCTTCCTACCCAGTGCAACTTTTCCATTTGGAGACTTGGCAGAGTTAGAACAGACAGCAGTGGAGATCTCACACAAACTAGAGTTAGAGATGGGCAAGGTGCTTAATAATGCTAGTAGCATGTGATGCATGATCATGTGACAAACAAGTAAAATGGCTCTTGTTTTTAGCTAGAGGACTATGAAACCAAGCTGARAGAGTGCAAGAAAGATTGTAGAGCTGACAGTGGAGATTGAAATAATGGAGAAGAATACCGATGATTACGGTGAAGCTGATTTTGAAGAGGTGACAGTAAAAATTAAGCAAGTGGAGGCCCTAATTCAAGAGCTACAGATCTCCATCAATAGCTCCATCACTGTCTTCACGTCTCTGCATGTACAGGTAGGCCATATGCTACAGCCTGAACAAATGCATGCACAACAACAACGCTATGAGCATGGGTCCACGTTTGTTTTGGTTTTTGAGATCACAGTCATGGTGAGCGTATTAAATAGATTAGAGAAGATCTGCGACAAGAATTTGTTTCTTGCGACATGCAGAGAATACATAAAGTTGCAGCTGCAACTTGACGAGTATGAGAGACGCCATCAGGAGCTTTTCTATCCCAGCATTGGTAAGATTTAGACTCTTATGTGAGCTGAAAGCTGTTTTTCTCATATAATTAATTATGTTCTCCCTTTGCAGGATCTTGTGCACACAGTGGTATCATCAAGGTCAGCAAGCCCATTGTCAGCCAGCTGAATGCCCATCTAATATGGAGGCTGGGGCAAAGATTCAAAACCTGTTCCTGATAGAGAGTCTATTTACTGGTACTCTGGGTATTCTAGTCATTCCATTATTGACATTAGGTTCTACACAAATTATAAGAACCTTATTATGAGAAACCACTTTCAGCATCACAGCTTACAAAGCAGCTGGCGGGGGACAGGGAATAATTTTATCATTCGTGACAATACTTTAAATTATCAGATAAACAACCCGTTTGGATTGGTCAAGCTGAATTTCACCACCATGAGCTATGAGTCTAGGGTAATTGCCAGGGCTAGTGATAAGTTCTCCTACTCTTCCTCCACCAGTCAGAACTTTGACTTCTCTGCTGATGAAACAGGTCTGTGGGTGATCTATGCCACAGAGGAGTCCAGCGGTCGTATGGCCATTGCTAAAATAAACGAGACTTCCTTCGGGGTGGAGGAGGAGTGGCAGACCAGTATTTTTAAGCCAAATGTCAGCAATGCCTTCATGGTTTGTGGTGTATTATATGTAGTCAGGACAGTAGATACAGTCACTGAAGAGATATTTTACAAGTGTGACACCAAATCTAACCAAGAGAGTTACATTAGTGTTCCCTTTGAGAGGTTTCAGGATATGTTTTCCAACCTAGACCACAATCCCACTGATCAGAAGCTCTACATGTACAATGATGGCTACTATGTGATGTACCACCTCTGGTTTAATCACACAACTAAAGCCACTGTGGAACCACCTACTTTTCTTGTGACATAAAGCTTCTYTGACATTTAGGAAACAAAGAAAGCAACCATTGTGCTCTATTTCCTTCTGTGGAGAGCGTCACATCTTCCTTTTTTTTCCAATATCAATAAATGATTTTAAGCKTTCAAAACATTTTGGGTTTGTCTTTAATCAAAACTCATGGAAACTGTTTTACTACAAATGGGAACTCATGCAGCACACAATAACTGCTTTTGAAAACACTACACAAAATCAAAAATGGGAAAATGTACTTCTATTTGACAAAACATACTTTTTGATTAAAAAGAGTTTATTTTTTTTACATATGTCGTAAATTCTTCAAGTGTCATTGGACCAAAAAATATATGAACGAATGAAAAATACCTTTGTTCAAAAAAATTTGCCATTCGTGTTTTTTTAAAGACATAGGACATAGGACCTTCTGGTGYCACACATAAATTGTACAAAATAAAGCAGGAAATTTGTTTATTTCAAGTTTTCAGTAAATGATTGCAGTGAGCATAGAGGTACTAAAAGACACACCTGAATGCACTTTAACCTCAATGAATACAACTTACTCCCTGGGCTTTTCTTTTAGACTTCCACCTCCAAACTATCCTCAAATTCATACATTAACAGCTCCTCAAGTGTAAAGCTAAACGTGACTTAACACATCTCCAATGCTTTGGGGGAGGGGTGCTCTGTGCAGCGGGAGCTCGGCTGCAGACTGAGCTCCAGGGAGGAGCTTTGTGTAAATAGGCGGGGCTTTGTACCAGTAGTGTTTAGGCAGCTCCACATGGCTACCACAAGAGATTCAAGGATTTCTCAAACATGCATGAATGAGTCAAAGCAACACTCTGGGTATGTTTATGAGGGTATGACATAACATGATATAAAACTTAAAAAAAAAAGTTGTGTTTGCATTATACCCTCTTTTAGACAGTAGCAACTCACTTTGCTCTACTTGGACTAAACTTTAGCCTTTAGGAAAGAGTACCATAATGAAAACATAAATGCCTTTCACAACCCCAGTTTCAAAGAAGTTGGGATAAAATGTAAACAGTATGAGAATGCAATAATTTGTAAATCTCAGAAACACATATTTCATTCAGTGGAACAAAGTAAATGGCTGTCTTTTCTAAGATAATGTTTAAGTGAACTGAGGCAGAAAAGAAAACTGATCTGTGGTCAGACATATTTTTATCACTTTTGGAAAACACAAAAGTCTTGTTCTTAATACTATAAAGGAGAGAGATTTGCATTTTGCATGAAAACATGTCCTGCAATACGCTCATCCTCCTTGGAAAAAATCTAAAAARATTTCAATCAGTGTTCTGTTTTGAATTTGGTCTAAAAATTTGCAAATTTACACATTTATGTCTAAAGGAACATACAAGATAAAACATACAACCAATGGGATCACAAATTTCCCTCTTTTGTATTTTTGGTCAGGGATGCAGAATCAGATCTCAGTGTCCCATTAGAGTGTCTACCCCCCTACTGTAAACCTGCCCTCCCTTGGGTGTGAGGGTTGTGGGGTGGGGAGGGGGGCTCTCCTTTGTYCTGTAGTTGGAGCCTGACTCCATCTGGTACTGAGCACCGAAAGTGATTACTTATTCTGGGCCAGCTGATCCTTTCATTCCCATTGCCCAGAAGACATTTGACAAATAATGTAACTATTATATAAAACTGAGTAATCSTTAATGAGATTAGTCAACATTAAACATGAAATTCAATTTTTTTTAAACAAACCACAGCTAGAATGCCCTTCAAGCTCAGCATTTAAAGCAGCACTGTCTCTTTAAATCTTTCAGCATCTATCATGAGGCGGGGGTGGGGGNGCTGGGATAATTTTACCTATTAAAGCTCATAATCTTACCACTTGAAACATCACTAGCCCTGAAGCTGCTGGCAGACATCGCGGTTGGAATTATCAAAGGTTTTTGACACCTGAGAGACACCACAGCAACTCCTTTGCATTTGGAAGCGGGGGCGACCAGGGAGGATGTTTCAACCACTAGATATCGCTGAAAACAATAAATCCTACACACTGTGCCTTTAAACAAACTGAACACAGCAGAATGGTAGCATACTGTATGTGAATGGATAAAAAACTGAAGCGCCTATGTTGAATAGATTTTATAGAGTAATAAGTATTTTTATACGTCTAGACACCCCCTTTTAGATGGTCTGGGGGGTCCAGGGGGTGGTGGTGGTGGGGTGGGGTGGGGGTGAGTGCCTTGTGTGAAATGGTACCCTTACGTGACATCACGCACAGCCAATCAGCAGCCTCAGCTGAGCTCTCTCCTCTTCCTCTCCTGCTTGTGGGATGAGTTCTGTTCTGAGGAGACGAGCCGATYCTGCTGCTGATGCTGCTGTCTGGGTGGAGAGACACATTGTACCTCACATCAGGTCTTATCTTGGATTTTTACACTTTTGCCTGTGATTTTGGTGCATTTTCCCCCCAATGGTCAGTTGCTAACTTACTTGCTCTGGAGGCTGTTGAGAGGATGATGGGTAATGATGGAGGGCACTTAAGATGGCTCTTATTACTGGATGGAAAACCCTAAGATTTTTTTTTTACATTTTAAATAGCCTTCAATGCAGGTTATGCTTTATGTTGGAATTATGTAAAAAAAAAAAGAAACAAAAGAATTATGGGCTAATGGTTGAGATTTTTTTACAAGTATAATCCATATCAGCAAAGATTTTCTTGTTTCTTTAGAAGTAATCCTTTTCACCTGATCTGTGTGTGGGAATAAATCTGTGTGTCTTTAGCCTAAACTCAGAAATGCTTTTGAGGAATATATAGAGATACTGTATATATAGATATATATGATGGGTATGAAGGTGTGTTTTATGTTAAATATTACCATTTTATCATGAGAGGATAATGTTATTACCTTGAAACAAGCCTGCATCAGCACACTGAATCATCCCTCTGTCGTGAACATTTACAGCTCTGTTTCTTTCCACTCATTAGAAATAGTAGACACAAGCCTACTCATACTCACTTCCTGTTCTGCTCTCAAGGTTAACTCTTTGTTTCCTTTGGCTCGGATTGCCATGCTGTGCTGCAAAGACCTGAGTTTTGGAGTCCCTGGGCTCAGACGTGTGCTGTGCCCAGTGTCAGCAGACAGAGATGTGTCCTGCTGCTGATACGGAACAGAAGCAGAGGTGAGAGCCACGCTTAGTWGTTATGCCGTTCGTCTCTTGCTAATGAATAGTATCTGTAAGTGCCTGTGATTGTGAATAGGCCCAGCTGGACCTTGTTGGATCCAAAACGACACAGAAATGGCAAAGAGGGACTACCTGGTGGAGGCGGCCAAGCAGATCCGCATGGCACTGGACAGTGAAGTCAATGAGGACTACGAGGCAGCTTTCAGCTACTATAAGAATGGTGTGGACTTGCTGCTGAATGGAGTCCAGTGTAAGTGACAAATATTTGAGACTTAGGGAATGTGACTTATGGAATGAGCTTTACAAATATCAAAGTTTAACAAGACCCGTGGCAAAAACATGAATGGAAACAGGAAGTTGAGCTTAGACTTGTTTGCTGACAGAACATTTTCCTCATTCAGTGTTAACTATCAGCTGTGTGTGACAGAGCAGGTTTGTCATGGGGTCACAGTAAACCTTTGTTTTATTGGTGTCTCAAAGAGTTTGGTTGCTTTACAGTGGATCCAAACAAAGATAGACGAGAGGCTGTGAAGAGGAAGACGACTCAGTATCTGAAAAGAGCGGAAGAAATCTTCATTACACATTTACAGGATAACCTCGGGAAGGGAGGCTCTCATTTAGGGGTAAGAAAAACATCTTGATATTTTTCCTCCCTAAAATAAAAAGTGTAAATTTGCTCAACATTAACTACAAAACTGGGACATTTCATAAGTATTTTGTTATTCAGTTGTTAACAACAGAAATGTCTATTTCAGTGCTTTTTAATATAAACTAAAATACAGTTTTTTACTTCAGTGCATTAAACCAGTGGTTCCCAAAGTTGGGGTCGGGACCCAACGTGGGGTCCTGAAACATCAAGGTGGGGTCCTGAAAAGATTTTCTAAATTAATTACATTTTTGCCTTAGTTGCCTAAAATGTATAAATGTAGAATAATAAATATTGTTACTATGCCCATGTTTAGTTGACCTGATACAAATGTTTATCATCCAATTGTGGGCACAGGTCTCTGCTACAGTTATTTTGTGGGTCAAAGCTGAAAAGTTTTGGAGGCACTGCACTTCAGAAATCAATTTAAAGGGTAATAAAATAATTGCTGATGTAATGTTTTCCCTACAATTATTACAAAAACCCGAAATAAGTATAAATAAGTATTTATATTTGTGTAGCCTTTGTTTTTAGGGTTATTAACAAAGTTTGTGTACTCAGACT